GCAGGGTCCAAACGTTCCCCTCTGCGTCAATAAACTCGTTTCTGCCGTCATTTCGAAACAAGTTAAACCGACTTTCATCAGTAAACAGCACTCGACGTCAATTTCTCACTTGCCAGCATCGAACCTGCCTCGCCCATCGCAGTCTCAGGCGTCGATGTTGAGCAGTCAGTACAATTCCTCGGAAAGGACGATACGCTCGGATTCCAGCAGCACGAAGTCGTCGTAGTACTGTACGTTGGCTAATGGGATGTCCCAACGCTGTTACGAATCTGTTTCGCAGGTGAATGAGCCGTATCTGACCGTCTTCCAGTGGTGTTGTCACTCGGGGTCGTCCGGTTCTAGGCCTGTCCTGTGTCCTCCCTGTCTGCCTGTACCATTGAATCAGCCTGGCTGCTGTCAATGGTGTACAACCAAACCTTTTGGGAATTTGGACCTGTGTTGCCCCCATTTCGGCCATACCGATGGCTCTCTCTCCCTGCTCCTGTGACAGTCGTGACATATCTTTTGTGTGCTCTCATCACGTGTAGTTATATCCTGCAGACGAACGCATTTATACATCTAACATGCACGTGCAGTTTATGCCATAGGCGTGAAACCTGTTTCACCATTTTTTTGTCACCGCACGTCAAAGGTGGCGCGTTCGGGTGAGGTGTTTTTTGGTACCTGTTCCTGGGCAGTCATATTCCCAATACCCACTTTCCACTAGTTATCGCTGTTTTAAGAAAACTTAAAAATTGCCATTCTATACTTTCTTTTGCCGCTTAGTTTATTTTACTTATTCTACGGCTGTAAACTTCAATTTCTGTAAATATGTAGGGGAAAGTACAGTTTTGGTGAAGCAGAGACTTGTAGAAAATTATTATTTTGTAGAAAATTATTATTTTGCTTCTTAATTCCGCTGTGTAGAGTTGCGTCCCCTCTCCCTACCAGGATCCTATGATCATGGCTTTAAATCCAGATTCGCCATGATCATGGTCATTGGTTTGTCAGTACCATATGCACGTTGCTTTCTCCAAAGTAGAAAAGGTCATCGACTTACGTCATTTCGGGCTTATATCCGAAATTAAGCTGTCATGCAGTCAAACCCTGAAATACTATTAAAAATGGCCTTTAACCCAACTCACGCACCTACATTATTATTTTTCGCTTTCTGTCTATTTTTAAGAACATGTTTATGTTTTAGCTCACCTGACTGAAAGGTCCATCATTCGGGAAAGGTGTAGTTTATGAATATTCTAATGGTGACAAATGGGAATTATTTGCTACAACTCGTGTCTTCCCGGGAACTTGCAGAATTGCCGGCAGGAGTATCTCGATGGAAGTCATTGTATATTGAAATGCCGCCGATAACCATGATAGACTTTTTATGTCTTGTTTTTGTATGGTTGCTCACTCGAAAGAAAAAATCCATATCTCCAAACGGGATTTAAGCTGACAAAACTGACATTTAATTAATTCTTGTTATGAAGCAGCAAGTCTATAGGATGTATTTACCCAGGGAAGCGGATATCTAATTTTATAATATTTATCGATCTGTATAATAAATAGTAAATATTGTTCAAATTACACGGTTTTTATGGTTATTATAGTTTATATACTAGTAGTTGTCTGGATACGTTGTCGTACTTTTGTCATGTCACAACTTTGGAGTGTAATCGAGCATTGTTTTCCTACGAAGATTTCAAATAGTCTATGCGCCTCTTGATCAAGGTTGCAGCATTCAAGGCCAAAGTAAAGCTTTAAAAAGGTTTTATAGTAGACATGTGGGAGACATTTCCAAATTTGACGGTGTCTTTTCATGTGAACAGTTGACTTGCCTTTGCGTGTGTTAATGACGGGTGCCGCTGGTTGGTCGGGATACGCGCACACCAGGGTACCGTTTCACAAAACAGTCGTAATTATTACGTGCGTGTAAAACTGGCGTATCATCATTATTTGATACATGCTCATGAAATAATCGGAATTGTACAATGGACAGTAATAAAGATTCGATTATGGAAAGGTTTTATCTCTTTTATTGTAAACATGTACATACTTTGAACTTGTCTGGAATATATTTATGTTCATGAAAAAACACCAGTATATATTCACCAACATGGTAGAACTCTTGCATGATGAGGGCGGTCGGGTAGCCTAGTGGTTAAAGCGTTCGCTCGTCACGCCGAAGACGCGGGTTCGATTCCCGACATGGGTACAATGTGTGAAGCCCATTTCTGGTGTCCCCCGCCGTGATATTGCTGGAATATTGCTAAAAGCGGCGTAAAACCATACTCACTCACTCACTCTTGCATGATGATGCCAAACTTATGATTTTGTTTCTTGAGCCGTAAAAGTCTTAAAAAGAAACATTCCACGTGAATCTATATTGCCTATTACTTTGGTGAAAAGTACTTGAGCATGATAATTGGAAACTACTCTTACTGATTCTATCTTATATCATGAAAAGAAAGTTTTATGTGACGACGTAGGCTTTCTAAGTTTTATGTGACGACGAAGGCCTATTTCTATCAGAGACTATCTAGTGCTTTGTTGTGTCCGTTCTTTTGACCCATTCCAAACATTTCCACACTGTCAAAATAAGATATCATTATTGGGATTTCAACAATGTTGTGAAACAGGGTAGGATCTGTTGTGTTTGTAAACACCTCATGTATATGGGTGCATCTTGGATCTCCTCTCTATAAACTATACCATAAACTGGGTAAGAAATATATCATATATTTAAATACCACCATGCAGTGATTTATGAATTGCCCTTTTGAGAATTAAATAGCATACTGTGTTTGATAATCATATGACTTTCTGTTTCCAAGTTGTACTGCAAGGGTCACGTGTTTCCTAAATCCGGAAGAGATGTTATTTAAGCGGAAGTTATTAAGTTAAAGAAATGGGGCACTTTGTTTCAAAGTTATCGTATTGGGCATGTTTTATAAAAAAAAAACGGGAGTGATGATATCAAAATATGAACTATAAGCTTGAGGCATTAGGACTAACTGTATTAGTACTGAATTAGACAAACTTTGGAGATCCAAGATGAATAGAAATATATATTGGCGATGACAGCTGTCACCTGATTTGATAAAGTCCAAATATATATTATTAGTCATGATACATGTTTCTGATGGGAAAGGTTTGGGACATGCAGGAAACGGCCTGGAAGGGACTGTTTATGTGTCTGTATTTAATGCAAACACCTTTCTTGTTATTTCGGACAAACTATCTGCGGACTGTCGGTTTATATAAGTAATCATGGGGCACATACACTAGAAATATCTTTATCTTTCTATCAGAAACTAAACCAGCTCTACTCCAACTCGATGACAGACATACATGTACATGTAGTATGGTAAGCTACTTTTCGTTACATAACGAAATATTCATATACAATGCCAATTTGTAATAAAACCACTCTACCACTAGACCACGGAGGCGGTCCACATCACTACAGACAGTGTATACTGTTATTGGACTGCAGAATGTCCCTTGAGGCAAGTCCCTCTTTACCCTATATTTTCTTCAGATAAAATCAGAACCCAAACCAGTTCTCAATTTAAAAAAATGTGTCTTTATAATATGTGTTAAAAATCGAAATAACTTACGCAGGTTGAAGGAGACAGTCTCGGGCGGACCACGGGCTAACACGGAGGACGTACAGGTGTCGGTACCTCAACCCTTCTTTTAGCTGAACGCCACAACCATTCAGTCTACTTCTAAGCCTATTGAATAATTTGTAAGAAGGCGCGTGTGATCCACGATGAAAGAAGCACTAGTTGCGTTATAAATGGCAAGCAATGATGGCATTTAAACCTATCATTCAGGGTGCCGTTTCACAAAAGCCTCTTAGCGCTACGACCTCCTAAACCACGTCATAACTTTTAAGGCCGTTTCACAAAGACCTCTTAGGGCCTGTCCTAATTTCGCCTACACCTCATTTCGCCTACACCCTTATCAACATTTTTTTACAGCTGACTGCACATAAGTCAAGTGCTGTTTTACCTCTAAAATAATGAACTGACCCAAAAGAAGGTTAAACAGACAAGACAATCTTGAAGCTTCATACATTGTTTAATAGCTGATATTTGCATTATGCAGTAATAATAATAATGACTCATGATTACTGTAGCTTTAGTACATATCCAACGGCATCAAGAAATTGCATTACAGTGAAACAGACAAGACAATCTTGAAGCTTCATACATTGTTTAATAGCTGATATTTACTTTATGCAGTAATAATAACAATGACTCATGATTACTGTAGCTTTAGTACATATCCAACGGCATCAAGAAATTGCATTACAGTTTTTCTTCCACTAAGAAGCTGTGTCTTTAGTCTTTCTATTCTTTCGTCCCTTTGTCTGTCAACACGAGCTCGGGGTCTGCATGATCCTTCAAGATCAATTTGTTTCCTGGAGCGTCTGTCTGCCTGTTCAATCTTCTTGATCTCCTTCAAGAACTGATAGATGTTAGGGTGAGATCGGGGCATTCTCTTTTTCAGTCCACAGTGGAACCCTTCCAGATGGGGACCGGTGTTGTCGTGCTGGTTCCAACTATGGCAGGGGAATCTAGCGTCGTCATCTACCCATGTGCTGGTGACATAGTCGTTAAAATCACCAATCTGTTGATCATCAGGTCCTTGCTCCATCACCTCAACCCATGCAGTCTGTACCTGCCGGAAATGTTGTTCATAGACTTGCCAAGACTTTAGGAAGTAATAATTGGCGGCGCCCGATAATAGAGTTCAAGTATGAAATATAACCCATGCCTTATGAACTTTGGTAATAAATGTATAACGTTTTACTCTATAATCATGTTAATGGTTAATACCGAAAGAAGTAACGTATGGACTAATTCTAAATGTATTTTTTTCAATAATAATTTATTAACATGAATAATATATTCTTTTAAAAAAAAAATAATTAGGGAAGGAGATTTCTTATCTCGATAAACCTTATTATAAGCAAACAGTAACTGGAGATAATTGTTAAATTTGTTTTCCAGTTTCACCAATGTTGTTGTCTTGTGGCCAGGGGCAACCCATGATGCCCACATCTACAACAACTGTTCACTGAAGAGAGCTTTGGAGGAAGAAAAACCAGATGGATGGCTGCTTGGTGATTCAGGGTAAAAACATTGATGATATTCAACATGAGATCTCTTGCCTATATATCGATAATGACTTGTCTGTATCAAAGTAGGCAATCCATAAGTCTGATTCCTTACATATTATCTCACTCTGAAACCTTTCCAATCAACCCTTTTGCTTATATAGTTGATCAAATTGAGAGATGGTCAATAACTCCTCTCCAAGTAAACTGACTGATCCTCCCTCTTCTACATTGCCACGTTTCAGAAAAATGTTCAGCATTTGTCGAGTCCAAAGGACATGCCGATATTATTAGAAATTATAATTATTATTATTATTATTATTATTATTATTATTATTATTAGTAGTAGTAGTAGTAGTAGTTGAAGTAGTAGACTGATCGGTCGTGTTTACATTACTGATTCTAAGTCATGAGTTCTCCAATTCCAGTGCGAAGTTTGTCGAAGTTTTTCGTGATCTCGCATGGGTTTTTTTAACAACGAGTTCAGCTCGTTCTCGTGACTATGCACAGACTACACATGCTTATCCGCGTCCAGTCGGCCAGTTCCTTACCTTCGATAATACCTCTAGCTGCAATGGAGTAGTTATACATTATTGTTTCACTGTTATCAGCATACCGGCCGATCTCTCCGCATTTAGTTAATAGTTTGTTTCATATATTGAATAGATATTTAACTTTCAACTGATTTTCAACACTTGGGTTGAAGTAGTGTAACATGATTTTCCCCCACAGAGGGTATGTCAGACCACGTCATTCAAAGTAATGTTTTTCCACCACAATTTTAATCGTAGTATATATGTTCATTTAACCTGGCTACATTTGTCATAATCGCCAACAGCGGAAGGGATGATGTAAATCCGGCTGGGGTCCATGCAGGTAGCAAAAGTACGGTAAGTCCCCATGGACCCCAGCATGGTGATCTACCTTCAGCTGCTGGCGATCTGTAGCCCGTTTTTATATTGTACCGTTGCTTATAGTGATATCTTTTCATAGCTGTATGCTAGTTTTAAATATTAATCTGTGATATTCTATTTATTTTACTGTCCATCGATGACAGATTTTAATTTAGTTAAAATATATGTATTTGAAAATGTATAATTTTTCGTAACGCTATGGCTGAAATATTGCCGATATGACGTAAAGCATTAACTCACTCACTCACTCGACCAACACTTATTTTAAATAGAGGTCACGACTGCCGACAGACTGTGTTACCTTATGTGATTTTCATTTGAATGAGTGCTATCAGTGGTTTCAGTTCAAAAATGGGTTTGGGGGCATAGGACTTGCCCAGTCGTTGCTTCCCTTAAAGGTACCAGTGCGTTCTCAGCACCCATTCTCGTCATTTCACTGTAAACTGTGTACGTGTTATATACTAACGGAAAAAATAAAAAAATAAAAAGTGGAGAATGTGAACTTTACTGAGGAAGTATTACCATAAATATAACAGATCTAATACAAGGCTTTGTTCTCATAATTAGGTGTTTGCAGTGGACAGATAATATCTACAACGAATTTAATCAATTATTATAAAAAAAAGTGTGTTACATATTTGACTCATCGATCAAAGACTTTTATTTTCTGATTGTGGCTTTTAGACTAATCAGTGAGCCGAAAATATATTTATAAACGTTTCCTAACAATGAGATATAACCTAAAAGGATGTAATTCTGCTCTACCTTTTTCCAAAAAACGGTGATGTTTCTGACGTCTCTTTATTACCATATGCCAAAGACAAACATATTCCTATTCATAAAGTAGACATTGCTGCAGTGCATCCATCAATTGTTCCCCGCCACAAAATGTCAAATGCGGAGGAAGGGAGTGTAAACAATGCGAGGAGAGGATTGGTGTAAAGGTTGTTGTTATTGTAGCTATCTTTGGAATGCACAATGAAATAAACAGTTTACAAGTCCTACATAGATCACACAACAAATGTCATTCTTAAACATGCTTTAGCAGCACATATCAATCTTACTGGTCAAAATGTTGGCCGGGTTTAATAAAACAAACTTTGAAATAGTAAACACAAATAAATGTAATGGCCCCTTTAAAAAACAGTCAGTCCAAATTTCAAAATAATTTTCACGCATTCATTAAGGGTTTCCGATTTATCCAACAGCAAGTTAAGAACATACAGGATGTTCAAGTCATCTATAAATATTGAGAATTATCTTACATATTGTAAAGACAAAGCTCAATAGGTTACATTTCTCAAAACTTCGTTTAAGTAATCACCAACTAGAAATTGAAGTAGATATACAAAGCACCAACCCCATTGGAACAACGTCTCTGTGAGACATGTGACGTCGTAGAAGATGAGCAACATTATGCACTTTGTCTTGTATCAAATACAGACCGACCGCCTCCGTGGTCTAGTGGTAGAGCGTCCGCCCGGAGAGAGGAAGGTCCGGGGTTCGATCCCCGGCCGCGTCATACCAAAAGACGTTAAAAGATGGTACTTGTTGTTACCCTGTCTGGCGCTCGGCATTAAGGGGCTAAAACAAGGACTGGTCGGCTCGGAGTCAGTATACTGTGTCTGAGTGGGGTATATTTATGTTAAACTGTGGCATGGTATCTCAGTGAGCTAGCACTATAAATCGGCATCAGTCCGGACTAGTACAAGCAGCCACACACACACACACACGCACGTCACTATATAAGTGCAATAATCTTGGACGCGACGTTAAACCCAATTCCATCTCACCTCAAATACAGACCAAGAAAGAGAATCACAAATAATCCTCAATCATGATAAATAATGTGGTACACTCTGTTAAAAGGAACAATTCTTAATGATTTTCAACAGCAGTTATCCAGAAACAATTTCCAAGATCTGTTATCATATCCACAATTATAAACAAATTCCTTGTATATACATTACCATAGTTTTGCTCAATTCTCATATTGTTTCAATAACATTATAATACACTTGTTTTAAAATAAACTTGTTATAATGTACCCCCTTTGTATTGTGCATGTATTTTGTAGTTTGTGATAATGTTATACTACCACTATTTCTTCATGGAATGTTAGGCAATAAATATCTCATCTAAAACATCTTTGATGTTGATAGTTTGTTACAGTTGTGTACGGGGACACGGCTGGCCAAATCGTCAATTCGCTATGCAGAGAGGTGTCCCTGTGGCACGGCAGAAACCTATGACAGTGTGTTCGAATCCCGTTTCGCCCCGATTATGGAGTCAGCACCATACCCGTGCTCGTGGGTTTCACCTAAGTGGTGAACGTCTAAGACCTGCATCACTTCGGGCTTTCCTCCAACATCAAGCTGACACGCCATGATATAAGTAAAATACTATTCAAAGGGGCGTTAAACCCAACTCACTCACTCATTACTCTTGTGTACAGTTCCGTTTGGTTAACTGGGTTTCTGTTGTGATTACTTCCGTTTTAAATTTGAAGTATGTGTAGAAGAATGTTACAATGTTCAACCCAAACATCGTAAATATATCATGCAACCGTAGTATTTTGTAGGAAAATAATTGCAAACTACAGTTCAACCTGTTGATTCCTATGTATCCAGAAGATACTTATAATACGGGTGTATAATCTCTGCCGGAAGTTAAAAAAAACTGTCCATACAAAAAAACATGCAGAACCTAAAACCGCCGCATGTAACGGTATGAATCATACTATACAAACAGTGAACTATTTGAAACTGTGCTCAACTATGCACAGCAAGCACCACACATGTGATTATGAAGACAACTAATTAAACATTTCTGTTTCAAAACCGTTGTTTTACATGTGTTGTTTTTTGTACAAAGGCATGCTTTAAAGAAGCCTGGTATTTAATCGTGTTGAACAAGAAGTTGCAGTAGTAGTGTGAAGGGGAAAAATTGAGTGCGCCTAACGTGCTTGACCTGAATTTCTTCCTGGAACCATTCTCTGTGGCTGCCTGAATAAACACACGATATATTGCAAAGGTAGTGCGCAATAGAGCTATTCGGATAAGGGAGATAATCACTCACTCTAAGTGATACAGCTTTAATACGAAACGATGTACAGCATGGCAAGGTCACGTGTGACAAAGCTCTATACTACGCCTATAGCTAGAGGAGATAATCCCCTAATGCGCAATAGGGAATTCTTACAAAATATAGACCGGTTAACTTTAGTTAAAGGAGATATTTATCTTCTAAACAGTTTTAGCTCTTTTAAAAACAAAATCAACAAATTGCATGGATTATCTGCATTAGGAAACATGACTAAATCACAGAATAATTGCGAGGTTACTGATCTGTGCTAAAGCAATAGAAGTTCGCAAAACGTTCCACTCTATTGCAAGCTCTTTCTTCGATTATTGTAAAATCATCTACGAAATGTTTTTTTCGCCAGATGTTAACACAGAATAAGTAGGGCTTAACAAGGTTGACTACCCAAGGAACTGTTTGTTCAGGGGAGTCTATAGCAATGAATAAACGATAACATTTGGTGCCTAAAACTTCCCATAATTACATTGAAATAGTCTCATCGGGTTTCGGATACAAACACAGTCTAAAGAAACAGGGGGTATAATTTCTTTTTTTGAAAGAAATACATGTACATGAATATTCGTGTCTCTACTTATCTACGTAAATGATACAGATCTGCCGAAGTCCACTAAAACATAAAATTAGTTCCATTAAATGTAAGCAAAGTGAAGTCCTTTAAGCCGGTGTAATACCCATAATCTAATCTTTTATCTACTTTTTGGTTGTAAGCCAGGAGAAGTCGGACGTGGTGAATTCCTTGCCGTCATACGGGTACCAGCACGTGTTGTCCCTGGCTTTGCCGGGAATCTTCCCCCAAACAGAATCCGCTTGTGCTGCGAAGTATTCTCTGTTGTCGTCGTTTTGCTGCCCATAAGATATCGCACCAGGTGGAGGGCCAGTGCCGCAGTTGTTGACTTTTTTCACGCTTCCTGCTGGTGCTGTCAGCCAAGAGAAGTCCTCTGTGGTGTTCTCTTCTCCGTCAAAGGGATACCAGCAGGTGCCCCCTTTCGCCTTGCCACCGATTGGTCCATATGGCGTGTTGGCTACAGCGGCCCAGTGTTTTCCAGCTTCGTCATTCTGAATGCCCGCCATGACCGCATTGCTGGGGAAGCCATGCGCACTGTCCACAAAACTGTAGTTCATCTTCACAGGTCTGAAATAATTTTTTGACAGCATTTAATTTGTTTGATACGGAAAATATTTGGAAAGCCTTTCTTACATGTCAGGAGATTGGCAATTTCTGAACCATAAAACGACAGGAACAAACGATTCACTTTAGAAATAGTCGTCAACAATACACAGTAAAGATCATAGAAGTTAAAGAAGTAGGAGCGGCTTTCAATGGTAGCCTGGAGAGCAACAATGGCCTGTACATAACGCTGGACATTAACAGGGTTGTATGGGTTACTTTGGCAACTGTGTCTTCAACCATAGACTGTTTGTTTGTTTGTTTGTTTCTTGTTTGTTTGTTGGTTGGTTGGTTGTTAAACGCTGCACTCGGCAATATTCCACCTCTAAGACGGCAGAATGCAAATAATCGGTGCTTGACCAGACTACACTGATTAGAATTATGAGCATCGTTACACGAAATTGGCATACGATAACACACATCAACCAAGTCAGCGAGCCTGACCACCAATCCCGTTAGTCGCTTCTCGCAGCAAGCATAAATGACCTCAATTCAACATTTGGTGATAGGACATTTTGGCAAAAAGTGGCCATCCCCGTAGGCATGATCTTTTTCTTTGTTGGTGTGAATCGTCTGGTAAAAAACTAGATTGGTAAAATCAAAACATGGGGATTTGGCCAAGATCTTTGAAATTATCTATAAACAAATGTGGGATTTGTGTCAAGTCAGTTACTACAAAGCTCACACCTCACTAGCGTCTATTTAACGTTAAACTGCGTAACAATTAAACTGACATGAGTTGGAATAGGAACTTCGTTTCCTGATATGTAGACTATTGTACGCATATGACCTCGTCTACTGGTTATTGAGCGTTGTGGTCTGTTTCCCTCCCATCTTCATTATGTTCAATTCAAATGTTGAGGTTCAGACTCTATTCAAGTGGATACATGATTTGTATGACGTGGTTAAGCATCTTGAAAAACGTGTAACAGTATATCAGCAGTAATAGAATCAACGACACTTACCAGCTGTGACCAAACGATGCCAGAGTCCAGGTCTACTTCTAAACACAGCACCCCAAGTTACTGCCTTTATACTGTCACCCTTCAGTTACAAGTTGTCATGTGACCAGACCGGGTGCGGCCACCCAACATTGTATACGAATACACCACACGTGCAGTGCCCCATACAAACGGGAGACAGATAGAAAGAAGGCATTCATTTTCTGTTACAACAGTGATACTCAATCTCATGTTTGGGACTGTACAAAGAATAGTTTTTGACTTTATTGAAATACACATACACATATCTTCTGACACTTGTATGTTCTCTAAATAGATAATAAGCTATTTTTTTAACCAGCGTTCAGTTTTCCTGTGGTTCTATTCAACCTTTTATTGCATAGTTAATTCTCCCTGACACATTATGTGTAACTAGTGTATTTCAGCTCATCCTTGTTGACTTCATGCTAAAACTTCCCTCTTTAGCAGATAACCCTCCAAATACTACCCCTGTCTGTGACAGATTCTTGACCCTTATGTAATACAGTAGAACACGGATATAACGAACACGGATAGAGAAAACAAACGGATACAACGAGCTGTTTATAAAAAAACGATTTATCTCCTATATAGCATCATATATAATTTACGTACATAACGAACTCTGTACAGCAAACTAATGGATATAGCGAACTGATATCTGATCCCCGACAAGGCCATCTACCACTAATTAGTGACGCGTATAGCGAACTGAGAAATCTCACTCAGTGTCAAGCGTCACTGACAATTCGACCTTGTTAAACTTGCATTATGTTAATCTTACATGTCCATGTAATTTGGACCAATATTGTCTGTAAAACAAACATGGATCCTACAATTGGATGAAAATGTTTTGAAGTTGTGTCATTGGGTACTTTTTAACTGAATCACCGGTAGATGCGGGAGGAAACGTGTATAAACGTGTATTGTGTTTTGCTTTAGCCAAGGTGGCGGACGTTTCCGAGCGAAAACGTATATAACGAACAACGTATATTTCGAACTGGTTTCTCCGGTCCCTTGTAGTTCGTTATATCCATGTTCTACTGTACCTGGTTTTACTGAAGGACATTCTAATACATGGCTCTCATTTACAGACCAGCTGTGATTCAAGATTAATTATCTTAGATAGATGTCAATTATACAATGCACGATGTAGACCTGTATATTGAGAATCGACTTGTTACGTCAGTACAGGTTGCGGTGATTGGGAATTATACAATGTAGACCTGTATAGAGAGAGTCGACTTGTCACGTCAGTACAGAGAGCGGTGATTGGCAATTATACAATGAAGACCTGTATATAGAGAGTCGACATGTCACGTCAGTACATGCGGCGGTGATTGGCAATTATACAATGTAGACCTGTATATAGAGAGTCGACTTGTCACGTCAGTACAGAGAGCGGTGATTGGCAATTATACAATGTAGACCTGTATATAGAGAGTCGACATGTCACGTCAGTACATGTGGCGGTGATTGGGAATTATACAATGTAGACCTGTATATAGAGAGTCGACTTGTCACGTCAGTACATGTGGCGGTGATTGGGAATTATACAATGTAGACCTGAGTATAGGAAGTCAACTTGTCACGTGAGTAAAGCGCTGGTGATTGGGAATTATACAATGTAGACCTGGATATAGAGAGTCGACTTGTAACGTTAGTACAGTGGGCGACGATTTGGGATTATTCAATGTAGTCCTGTATATAGAGAGTAGACTTGTCACGTCAGTACAGGTGGCGGTGTGAGGGTATTATATAATGTAGACCTGCATATAGAGTGTCGAATTGTCACGTCAGTACAGGTGGCGGTGATAGGGAATTATACAATGTAGACCTGGATTTAGAGAGTCGACTTGTCACGTCAATACAGGTGGCGGTGATAGGGAATTATACAATGTAGACCTGGATTTAGAGAGTCGACTTTTCACGTCAGTACAGGTGGCGGTGATAGGGAATTATACAATGTAGACCTGGATATAGAGAGTCGACTTGTCACGTCAATACAGGTGGCGGTGATAGGGAATTATACAATGTAGACCTGGATATAGAGAGTCGACTTGTCACGTCAGTACAGGTGGCGGTGATAGGGAATTATACAATGTAAACCTGGATATAGAGAGTCGACTTGTCACGTCAGTACAGGTGTCGGTGATTGGGAATTATACAATGTAGACCTGGATATAGAGAGTCGACTTGTCACGTCAGTACAGGTGGCGGTGATAGGGAATTATACAATGTAGACCTGGATTTAGAGAGTAGACTTGTCACGTCAGTTCAGGTAGCGGTGATATGGAATTATACAATGTCGACCTGCATATAGAGAGTCGACTTGTCACGTCAGTACAGTGGGTTGTGATAGGGAATTATACAATGTAGACCTGTATATAGAGAGTCGACTTGTCACGTCAGTACAGGTGGCGGTGATTGGGAATTATACCATGTAGACCTGGATATAGAGTCGACTTGTCACGTCAGTACAGGTGGCGGTGATAGGGAATTATACAATGTAGACCTGGATTTAGAGAGTAGACTTGTCACGTCAGTTCAGGTAGCGGTGATATGGAATTATACAATGTCGACCTGCATATAGAGAGTCGACTTGTCACGTCAGTACAGTGGGTTGTGATAGGGAATTATACAATGTAGACCTGTATATAGAGTCGACTTGTCACGTCAGTACAGGTGGCGGTGATAGGGAATTATACAATGTATACGTGCGTGCGTGCGAGCGAGCGAACGAGTGACCAAGTGCGTGAGTGAGTGTTTTGTTGTTTAGTGTTACGTAATATTCGCGCCAAGTACAACATGACGGGCAACAAGATTACGTCATTGTTGAGTGAGTGAGTCTGGTGTTATGCGATATGATGCATCACGTGAGAAAAGACAGCTAGCATTGGCTTTACACACACATCAGTGGTTTGTGAGTGAGTGAGTCAATGGGTGAGTGAGTATGTTATTTTTACCAATATCCTAGTCAGGCACAACAAGAAGAAGGACAGGCAGTATACGTTATATTCAGGTTTCTGGTCTTATTCAAGCATATAATAACCCTAAAGGAAAACAACGTGCGGTCGTTTCGACCTCACACGTGTATCAGCAGCGCAAACACAGACGTACAGAAAGGTCTGTTGTCTTGTGAGATATACAACTACGATGTTTGAAATTCTGGCGTTGTCACAGCACATGTAAACAGTGAGTGTTCCAAATCACACAGTGAATGGTTTCGCTATTATAAATCGTTTGAATGGTATTAGTATGTGTAAGTTGTGAACATGCAACAGTGAGGAGTGAAAATTCTCAAGAACTTCGATGTGTTCTCTAGGAGGACCTGACTTGACTGAAAAAAAAACCCAGGTCGGAATACTTTCTGCGTTTCAAAGGGTAGCGGTTTCAGGTTTGAAATGTAATTTTTACATGCCATTAATTTCTTTTCAAAATGATTCAGCCTATATGAGTAACGTTTCAATTGTAATGTAAGCCTATAATAACCTAACTGTAAGAGCAAATACAGTGAGGAGTGGAAATCCTCAAGAACTTCGATGTGTTCTCTGGGATTGATTCAACCTATATGAGTAACGTTTCAATTGTGATGTATGCCTATAATAAACCTAAATGAAAGAGCAAATAAAGTGAGGAGTGGAAATCCTTAAGAACTTCGATGTGTTCTCTGGGAGGACCCGACTTGACTGAAAATCAAACCATCCAAAGATATCGGTTTCAGGTTTGAATACCTCTGCTATCTGACATTATTTCTTTTCAGTTACACTCTAAACGATTCGACCTATATGAATAACACCCCAGTTCTTTTGTATGCCTATAATCCACATAACGGTAAGGGCACAACAAAATACGAGAACACTGCGAGAATATGGAAAGAAACGTTCATTTTCATGTGCACATATGGGCACGGGTGGCCCCCGAATAGCTGAATTCTATTGTTGAAGACTTCACCAACAGAATTTGAGTTTTGATTAAAATGTGAGCCTACATTTTTATACAAAGCTATATATCCACAAATGTAAGTAGACAAAGGTTCAGCCACTAAAACTCAAACTGTGCATGTAACTGACAGCCCTTGTGGTGGATGATAACGATGATTGTTTCACCACGGGCCATGTGAATCGTGTGTGAGCCATGCAGGTACATGTGATGTGTTTTGTTTTTTTGCATGAAAGGTTATATCCAGGTCTACATTGTATAATTCCCTATCACAGCCACATGTACTGACGTGACAAGTCACCTCTCTATATACAGGTCTACATTGTATAATCCCCAATCACCGCCCACTGTCCTGACGTGACAAGTCGACTCTTTATATACAGGTCTTCATTGTATAAATCCCAATCACCGCCCACTGTACTGACGTGACAAGTCGACTCTCTATATACAGGTCTTCATTGTATAAATCCCAATCACCGCCCACTGTACTGACGTGACAAGTCGACTCTCTATATACAGGTCTTCATTGTATAATTCCAAATCACCGCCACCTGTACTGACGTGACAAGTCGACTCTCTGTATACAGGTCTATATTGTATAATCCCCAATCACCGCCCACTGTCCTGACGTGACAAGTCGACTCTCTATATACAGGTCTTCATTGTATAATTCCAAATCACAGGCCACTGTACTGACGTGACAAGTCGACTCTCCATATACAGGTCTACATTGTATAATTCCCAATCACCGGCCACTGTACTGACGTGTGCTTGTTGGAGGAACTACGGTAATAGGTCCAAGGCCCTCGGGTACTGACATTGTACCTCTCGCTCATCCGGGTCACAGCACCAAAGATCGAGGGGATTGCCGTGGTTCAGGTGAAGAGGTAAACGAATCGCTGCCTTCTAATTAACAACAATTACCGCCAATTAACATCTTAAAAGTACCTTGGACATAATTCCCTATTACAGCCCACCTGTACTGACGTGACAAGTCTACTCTCTATATACATGTCTACATTGTATAATTCCATATCACCACCACCTGTACTGACGTGACAAGTCGACTCTCTATATCCAGGTCTACATTGTATAATTCCCATGGCGAGACTAAATACATACACCTTTATGGAATACTAGAAGGGACATTGTCGCGTTGTCGCATTGTCGCCCTTCCAAAAACAAGCAAAAAGTGTCAAATTAACCAAAGCGCGACAGTATAATTCTACTGTTGTTCTAGTCTGTGAATAACAATTTTAATCATATAATGGGTAGGTTTCTCGCCAGGATAAAGCCAACGGATAAATACGATATCCATTGGGGTCATATGCGGATAGAGATGCAAATATCAAAGGTCAAGTAGGGGCTACTTTCAGTGTTTATAAACAAATATGGCGTCGCCCTTGTCATTCGGCGATCGAGTCAGAATTAACCTTCGGGAATCTGGATAAACTACAGGGATAATTGCTATCATTATGAAAAAAACAGTCTGATATACTGAAAATCAGTGTCTACCTGTGACGTAGCTGAGGCATTTTATAAGTATTGGAAACTTTGGAGATATAAATTTCGAAACAATTTATCGAGGGCACAGGGCTTAGCCAAGCGGGATCAGTAGCCATATCTGTGCTTGCAGACCTCTGCGGCTTGAAACTTTCTCCACAAATTAAAATTGTCCGTAAGTGTAGTCTCTGGTCATGGCAGAACCGACATCCATGTCCTACAGCGGGGCATGATGACATTTGTGAGCTACATGGATGACATTCTGGATGTCTGGATGTCATCACTACAGCTCACGTATCATCACTACAGTCGGACTCCATGGTCTCAATTCGATAAATAGTTCGACCTTTCCAGGGTTCGACACATAGTAACATCTGAATATAATAAAGTATACAAATATGTACTTTATTATGCATATTATGCAAACAATAAACATGTGTCATAACTACTTTTATGCATCTAATATTCATTATATTTACATCACTGGAATATGACATTGTAAAATAATAACAGTAAATAAATACGTACATTTATCAACATACAGAACACTCGACCAGTCGACTTGCCAAGACTGTGTGCTAAATACTTGTTGTTCTCAAAAGAGGAATTGTGGCATTGTCGACATAGTTTATCCGCCTGGTTAAACCTGGTAATTTACTACATGATGCGACACATCCGAGTTCAAGACATGTTCAGACTGTAGTTACTGCATATCAAATCATTTCATAGTGATGCAGGCAGCATGTCCCAATCTTCAAAGTGACATTATATTTTGTGCATCTGCTAACCCCATTGTTAGCAATGTAGACCCAATGCTGCACTACAGCATTTCTCACAACAACTTACAGTTTTAAGATCTCGTATCAATGTGCATTGAGAGCCAAGGTGTCAAAACCAATTCTGTTACCGAAAGTCGTTCGGATTGTATGAGCACTGTAGGAATGTACTTTTGAAACTATTTGTGCAGATAAATTGAAAAAAAACCAACTTCTGTGGGCATTCAAAATTCTTCTCACACACAACAGGACACATTGTCATAAAGAAACAGACTATTCAGTGAACTTAATTACATTCCTGTACAGAAGTACAAATATGTAAGCAGATACATTATATGTCCGCTTCAATCATTTTCATCACCCACATCAAATGTGGAATATATTTAGATACAACTGCAATAATTTCATTTCTAACCTATTATGTGGATATTTAAAATTGTTCTTTCACAGAAAGGAAGCATAATATGTCAACATATTCATGATTGAAACAACTTTTTACTCAGACGCTTGTTGTGACATTTCCCAGAAATGTGTGAAATGTATCTTAAACTGATCAGGTTCTGTATAATAATAATCATAACAATTCTCATGTGTGGATGTAGAATGTTTCTAACCAACCAGAAACCAATCATGTAGAAAAACAACACGCTTAGCTAACCTTGTTACATGGTCGTACACAACAAACAACACATGAACGGGTTACTTCTACGTCCGCCTCTTTCACTATTATTGTGTTGTATTTGACAGCTTAAGTAGATATGTCATATTTACAAGTTTACACAGTGTCATGTTCAGTTATTCCTTAGGCCAGGACTTTATTAATGAGTGATATTTTTGTGTCAGTCATGTCGATCTCCTCCCCGCTGATTAACTTCATCTTTACTGTGGCGAGATCTGGCCGCCCAACACCAAACAAGGGGAGAAGAGCCTCCTGAAACTCTACATCAGTTTTTGCTAAAACAACCTTTCTGTCCAGGTCGATGAAGGCGACTCTACCTCTCCCAACATCCAGCACAACTCCATAGTGGAGAGTGGCCTGTGTCCCGGGTGTGTAAGATAGTGTGTTTCTGTAACACTTCCCCCCGTCACCCTCCAGCCACACCCTGGTACAGAAGCGCCCCCAGTGTGTTCTACAGCTCCCTACACTGACACCCCAGGAGCGGCGCTGCTGACAAACATGCATCTCTCTGTCCACCTGGCTCTCCTCCACTACACCCATCTCCAGGACAGGCGACACATACACTCCCCACTGCACACCCACCCTAGAGTGAGTCTCCCAGTACCGATGTATGTGAGGGGCAGGGATGACATTAGAGCGGGGTGGGGGCAGGGGGATGGGAGTGGAGCTACACGTGCCCCTATATTCCTGTAGCCTGCCCCTGTCCTTGTGTCGCGTGGCGCGCGGCGAGTTGACCAGCTGACCGTCTGTCGTCACATGGCACCAGCCTGTGTTGGCTCGAGCAGCGTCCATTTGGAGTTTAGGACCTGGAAATATAGATGTTAATTGTAGTTTAGCAATTGTACTCACTACAATGGATAATTGTATTAATGACTTTTGTTTCAGTGATTCAAAAAGAGCGCTATAAATGATCGGCTGCCATGTTCGTCCGTCAATGGACTCACTCATTGATAGCTCTGTCCTTAATATAGACAATAACGTTGTGATATAATTTGGATGGATACTCAAATTGTCTGTTTTCATTTTTGTACGCACTGATAAACAAATAAACGCTACTTTAGATACTTTTTTACAAACTTGCAATTGCTCTACCTAAGTAATTGTTAAAAGGTTATTTCACGGCAAAACTATCAAAATAGGGATTCTAAAGAATGAGACAGACAAAAGGTCTGTTTCATATGGAAAACAAGCTAAATATGCCCAAATCACGAGAATGCAAGTTCGCGAACTGGCATTCATGTGTTTTTTGTACATAGTACTTTATGTCAAAAGTCGACGATGCGAAAATTCGTCATTTGGACATGATGCAAAATCTCGCAATCTCACAATTTCGACTTGTTACATTAGGCCACAAAAACACGAGAATGCAAGAATGCAAGAATGCAACATTTCATTTTCTCGCGATCTCGCATACTCGCGTTTTAGACGCGGTCAGTGTGCATGCGTGATATCTTCAGGTCAAGGCGCATGCGCACGTTAGTAGTCATGTGGTCATGCTTCTTTCATGCTCTTCATTTTCCAAATAGCATTCAGCAAACAATGACTTGAGCTGTGTCATTTACATTCACAGAGTCCTATGTAGAATTGATTCCGTTCCCATTTTGACAGTTTCCTATGTACTTTAAATTAAATCCCTCAACATTCTCAACATAATGTAACAAAAGAAATGCTGCACATGAATGTCTAATGTTAGTGAAAACGTCAAAGTGTCAGGAAGCTGGAAACCAAACTAAACCAAACCAAACCGTCAGTGAGTGTCTGCAGTATTGGAGCTATTTGCGGCTATACCGTCAGTTATAGAAATAACCACAGGCCAGTGAGTTTCTCTATGAGGTAATATTATACACGGCAAGCATATTCATTCAAACGAAATTATCAATGACCAATTTGTAACATTCGTCTAAAATGAAATTGTCCGATGTTTTTCCATGAAACCATAGTCGCTACTTTAGGTCATATTATTAATAGATTTTCACACGCTCCCGCCTAACTACAAAACATACCGCCTTACATTTTTCTATTGCCTTCAGGTTCCCAGAAATAGAAATATCGCTAATATGTGTGTTCCTTCTTTCTTTACTTGATGAAATACTCCACACACATAGCACTACTGAACACGCATGATGCATCTGAATCGCACCCTTCGAAGCAATTGTACACAGACGCCTTAAATAGTTCAATAAGAAAAAAATAAAATGCCTCCCGTCTGCCATATTTTCAAAATAATCAATCAAACTCCAATTTTTATTTTATTGCGGCTTATCATCCACATGCTGGGCAAGCTTATACTGGAAATGTACCCGAATATACAGCCTGAGGGACCGGCCATAAAAGTTTTCTGGCACGTCCAGAGGGACGCGAGATCGCGACATTTCTATCAGAAGATGAATATTTCAGGGCAATTCTTTAAGCCCTTTGCGTTCTCTGTTTGTCACTAAATCCTTAAAACGTTTTGCTTAGCAAAGAGGAAGGTTATCAAGCATGGTGAAGACGGTAATAAAATGATCGAGCAACACTATCATGTCACTTAAGAAACTGTGTTTGTGCCGAAGCGGGGCATCCACTGACAATGTGTTTGACACTCTCATTAAATTCATTGCATTTCATATTTACATTTTGATGCAAAATCCCACATTGACGGTTTCGAGTGGGAAGTGACTGGTCCTGAGCAGGGTCCTTGTAGGGTATCCTTTGTTTCTGTAATCAATTGTATTCCTTAGTATAAACATTTAGAATGGTATTTATACTTGTGGACCGTTCTGTAAAGAACAGACGATTCCTTGTTGATAAGGGTGTTAGAATCTACACAGAAACATTGCTACAGAGCTACAGTCATCAACACTGATCTTTCCCGCTTGTGTACACAAGTTGAATGATATCATATGTTAAGCAAGTTATACACATTATCAAAGTTGCCACTGAAATTCTGTATCAGTTTACGCCATGTTATCGACGATTTGGTATCTGTACAAATTCTTGAGCTGATAAATGCGCCAAATTTCTCAGAACTTTACAGCGATATCAACATAAAAGAAGTCTTTGAATGACAAAGTCTAACACCATATTTTGTCATCATGACATCATTTTGAGTGCAAAATTACAAACTGCAGTAGTTCACTCATTAAATGCTTTACTGTTTTGTTTGGTCTGTCTAGTTATTCATCTTTTGCTATATAAAATTATAGTTTGCAAAAGTTTATCATTTCACTGGCGTTATCACCTGATTCTTTTCTGCTATGGTCTTCTCCCCTGCAAGGCGACGTTTCTTCTGTGAAAGGGAAGTTCTTGCTAGCTTGTGAGGGTGTCGTGTTTGTGTTTTCATTCCCCATGCCATCATTAACAACTCCTGTATGGTGTCCCATTCCACCGTGGGCAGTTCCTGCAGTGTTAACATTTGCAATGTCACCATAATTATTAACATTTATGTGGTTTGTGATATATATTGTGGGTTGCCCTTTTCCATTATTATCCAGGTTAGTCTTCTTCTCTGCCATGGCGATGTTAGAGTTTCTTGTTATGTAGTGTCCACAAATAGGATTCTTTCTGTAAATAGAAAAATATATATTGGATTTAAATGCACATCAGTGTGTCACGGATGAACACATATACTAGGAACAATATTAAAGGGGAAATTTATTCCGAAAGATATGTAAAAACATAACGCTGTGAAATTCAATGTAAATTGAAAACAGACAGTTGACTGCAACGCAAGCTCTTTGTCATCCTCCAAGTTCTGACCAAATCAATGGGCAAATGGTACGTATGACCACTTGATGATTTGGTCCACATAACGTTGACTGGTCAACTTGCACTATAGTGACATAGGTCCTGTTGTTTTAAGTGATGCCAACACCGTAGCTATCATGCTGCCGAGTAGTACCTATCCCCATGCGGTTTTTCAAACACGTTGCCTATCATCTGTAAAAGGGAACCTCGATTCATCAGAAAACATCTCCACTGCTGCTGTAGACAATCTCCAAACAGCTGTAACCTCTGTTGTCTGAGGCACAGTCAGACCCATTCCTCAGAAAGGACGTTATGATTCGGGTCCGAGCTTTTCAACCCGTTTTCTATCGTGGACTTTGAAAGTTGGATTCCTGTGGCAGTCCTAAATTTGACCCTCAGTTCTGGTGCAGAAATGAATGAGTTTCTCAACACAATGATGCGAACATATCGGTCCGACTTGAAAGTAGTCTTTTTAGGCCTTCCCCCGTTCACCACAATCTCAACCCCCTCCGTTTGGTGATATCGTCCAATCAGTCGGGATATCACACTTTTGGATTTACCAAATTGTCTGGCAACTACATTCCGTGGTTGGCCAGCTTAAATCCCTACTATATTTCATTTTCTGTCATGGACACTTTTGGAGGCATATCTTTTCCTAGTACCCGATTTCATTTTCTGTCATGGACACTTTTGGAGGCATATCTTTTCCTAGTACCCGATCAGTTAACTTTGTATTCCAGTAACCAGGATATGTAACCATGGACATCATGGTTTACATGTGCAAAGTGCAAAATGCGAGTTTTCTATCCCGGACAATAACTGAGTCTCGTGCAACAAAGCTGGTCATTTTTCATCATATAGCTGAAATGACAGGTGTTCCCTTAAATATTGTTCCTCGTATATGTGATCTAGAAGCTAGATCACCTTTTGGCTTTTCTTGATATATTTGTTACTGATATTAGGAGTCAAATGCCCTCACGTATTATGTCTGTCACAACTCAAGACGTATCGGGTGTAGTATGATTATGATACATATCATCCATAGTGTAGGACATATAATTGGTAAAGGTTTGGAGTCCACAAGAATCGTCACTTGTAAGGTAGTTCTGCTTCTTTGTTCGTGTCATTGAAATGCTTTTGACACATTAAACAGTCGTAAGTCAATGTCATCATTGAGGTCAAAGCTAGAACTCAACAAGGGTTTTATGTATGGCAATGATAGATGTCATCTTTGAGGCGGAACAGCGATTCGAATTTCTGCGGGACCCATATAGACAATCAAATGGAATTCCACCAAAGGACATCATATTTGGTTAATAGCCATTTGGAATGGTTTTGAAAGACATGTCATTAATGCTGAAAGTTACACTCACTCTCAATGTAATACACTCAAGAACGTCATAAGTTTGTGATAACTCAATAAGGATTTACTGAGGGCCAAGGTCATTCCACAGGAAGTACATATAACTTGTGTAATAGTGTAGCCCAATGTGAAGCAGGAACCTGACCAGACCGTGATGACGCTCATGTTCAAGTGGAGATGTATCTCGCATTTCTCTTTCTTCTTTGATCACTGGTGGAAAACGAGCTCAAGGGTTTCGAGCTTCTAAAAACAATTCTCGACCGTGACCAATCAACCATGTTCGACGAACCTACCCCTGACTACTTCGGTGAACCTACCTTCGGGTACGGACGTCCGTAAGGTTCTCACGTTAGGTGTTTAAGCTAGAGGCATAGGACTTCCTGTTTCGATGTTTTGCATTGGGCATTGGTGTTCCCAAACCAAAAGTGTGAGTGAGTGTGAGTGAGTGAGTTAAGATTTAACGTCACATTGGCAATATTACAGCCATATCGTGATGAGATAAAGTCAGACATTTGATTACATAGAAATTCATAGAAGTTAAATACCTGTCGCCAAAGGTAAAACTAGTTTGAGAGCACATAAAAGAATGAACTATAATTCAACACAATTTGAAGACAGATTATAGATCGACAGCAACCAGTGTTAGGCCACCACACTAGGGACCGTGGGGACTTACAATACTTCAGTCATTGTCAGTTGTAACCAATATTAAGCACCAGTTAAAACTAAAAAATATTCTACTTCAAGAATATGTGACTTTGAAAGGAAGTGGAACTTATGTATCCTCTCAGGGGGACAATAATTTAACTGTACTTTAACCCCCTTCGAGGATACAGCCACTAACAATCTCAGTTGTTAATTTAATCTACCAAAATTCAACCATTTGAACACTTACAGGAGTCTTTTATCTGTTGCAAACCGAAATTGTTTCAGATTTAGTAAAAAACATAACTTTGCATTAAATCTTATTCAATTTCACAGTTACTTTAACGGCTGGCTGGTATTATGGAGTTACATTTTGGCTGGACTAACGAGTCTACGCATAGTTCAATCAAAATCGCGCACCGAAATCAAAATTCGGTTCGTAAACTGTCGTGCAGATTTCGGTCGATTGCAGGATTTGCAAAGAATGTGCACCGCCAACTCGTTGTCAGCAGATATACTCCAGATCTTATCATGTTTTTTATCAATGTGCTCACGTGATTTGATGCAGTTCGCCATGTAAGACCCGTTATATCACAATATAGATCTTGATTATCTATCAGATCGTCCTGACTTGGCGCCACCATTTTGAGCGAAGCAAATGCAAGTGATACGAGAGGTGGAATCTGATTAGTCCATATGAGAGGCTTAGACATAACTGGTAATAGCCACTGGTGGTGCTACGATCAAGCCCAGTGATTCCAGCCAAGTTCGGCAAGGGTGGAAACTGGACTTTTATTGTTAGTTAACTCTCTTGTCTCGGGAAGATGGCAGTGGTCCGATTGAAGTGTATTTTGGGAATGGTCAAATGTGACATGGTGTCAGAGACTTTGTCAACCAACCTGGCTTTCCAGCGTTCAAAACAAGTGTTGTAGCGTACATAAGGTACTGAGACATTATGTCGAGTAAAAAAAATATGTACGGTGATGTTCCCCAGTAAACTAGTAGTAGCCATGTACGGATCTGATTACAGCAGTGTCTGACCGGTTCGCACCCCGAACATCTGGTTTGTTTGGTCCATATTACTTACACTGTTGAGTTTGACGTTTACAATTACTCATATCACTTCAAACAGTGCATACTGTTAGAAAGATAACCTACTTATTTACTGTTAGATTCTGTAGATCGTAATGTTTGGAATAAGTGGTTTTGGACTGCAGACTGTCCCGTGAGACATGCCCCTCTTTACCTATCGCTATATGTCATCAAGCGGCACACAAACGTATACACAGTTCTTTGTCTAGTGTGTCTATATTTTACGTGTTAAAGCTTCAAATAACTAACGTGGGCTGAAGGAGATCCATGCAAGCCTTCGGGCTGACATGGAGGAACGGAGTCACCTCCTTCTGCTGAATGCGTCTACTTCTCAACTAAAGCCGACTCACAAATCCATTCAGCATATTTGTAACCTTATTCAATATGCAAAATGGACACCATATACGAAATTATTTGGGTGTTTAAAATTCTTATAGTTATATGAGGAGGTAATACTGTACTAAGAACTTCAGAACGCAACTAAAATGATGCTTTGGAAACTCTTTACAAGTATTCACTACATGAGTCATTGCATGAGCTCTCATCACTGCCGCCATCAGAATCACTAGATAGATCACTGTCATTATCGTCTGCTGGTGAGATTGGAGGTAAGGTAATTGTTGAAGGTAAAGCAGGCTGTGTGTAACGATCAGGCAGGTAAAGGCCAGCATCACAATGCCAACCATGACCTATTGGAGAGGGGTGACTCTTGAGATCAAAATGATTTTGCAAATATGCCAAGTAGTTTGCCCGTTTAGTGCATGATGGACCATTGTTTCATAGAAGAGGTACAGACATCGTACACCACGCTTGAAATGTTTTCCTCGGAGTGCTTGATCTACCGACCCTTCTGCAGTTACACATGCTGCCACTAACACATCAGAAATACCTGAACCCTTAAACCTCTTGTAAATTGCACAGATGAATGACATTTGGATGTGGAAGGGTGCCATGAACGGCAAAATTATGCTGAACTGAATCGCCTTCTCGCTTTTCAACTCCAGCAAGAGCAAGTAGACCGGATAATCACCTACAATGATTGCGAAAGGCATCTTTTTTTCATTAATTGACTTCGCAAGTTTGCACATCACATCATAGAGGATGGTCTTACTAGGCGGGTCAGAATATGTCATGTAGTATATTGCACGGCTCTTCTCTTGTGGTTGTGACATGTTAGCATGAAACCCTTTATAACCAGGCACTTGCTGTTCTTCTGGCTTTGTTCTTGAGAGGTCATCTTGGGCCCTGGACAGTGCATGAATAACACCACGTGTCCTCTGAGTAGATGTGTCAAAAAGAATACTGTTGTTTTCTGTCTCTGCCCTGATGGGTGGCTCTCCACGCTTAACTGTTTTGTATGGATCAATCTTCTGCATTTCACTTCCAAGTTCCTTGAGAGAGGCAGAGAGAGATGAGGCAAGTTTGGTACTTGGAACTGTACGAGTTTCATGACTCTCCAGTTCCGAATCAAAAGATTCAAAAGGTTGAACAAACATGGAGGTGGAGCTTGTAAACCACGATGAAAGAAGTAAGTATTTGCTTTATAAATTGTTATAATGGCATACGCTCTGTTATTCAATTGTGCAAAAGACGTCCAGTATATTTAGCAACCTGCATAGTTTGTTGTGGTTCTAGCTCATATAGTTTCCAAGAGATAACTCTTCAAACTTATCCGGCATGTGCGTTTCTTTTGTAGCTAAGTATACCTTATATCCTA